TTTTTACCAAGATTTTTTCGAACTGAATGATAAAAACTAAGTCCACCTATGCCTGCTCCAACAATTAAAATTGTTGGATTCTTGTTCGTAGGGACTTCCATTTTTTTTAAATTATCAAAATTAAAATGATTATTCAGTTTTTTTAATTGCTATTATTTTTTTCTCGGATTCTTGGATAGGCTGTTTATATACTATTCACTTCAATATTATCAAATATATGAAAAGCTTCTCCGTTTATTTTTTCCATATTTGTACAGATAGGATACATTGTTACTCATAAATAGTTTAAGATTACTCATAAATATTCTAAGAAATTCATGATAACATGTGAGTCATATTTGGTTAATTCATCAAAATATTCAGACTCCGAATCTCGATGTATGTTGAAAATTAATATCTTGGAACATTTCTGACTTGTCCGATTCCGTTCTAGCGGCTCTAAACATGTAATTTTATTCTAGATTAAAGAAATGTAATATTAAAAGACCTTTAGATTTTAACATATATACAGGCAATTCTCTAAATGCGCAGGTCATTTTTCTCACTACGCACCTACGTACGTACAATTTTATTTATATAATTTAAAATATTTGTTACATTAATTCATCTCTATATTTAGCCAGGTTAGTGGCGGAGTAATCTGTCGCACCAATTACAATCCATATTTGATTTCAGATCTGTGTACGGAAAGTAAGTGATACAAATAATTCCATTTCGATCAAAAATGGTTACTTTTTTTGACTCACCTGCATAAAACATAATGAAGGTTCTAATTTGGAAATTTTTTTCCGTCCGCACGCGTGTAACAAATTCCTGAATTCACGTCACGCGTTAGTGCAATATAATCATCGAATGATATGCTCTGGATCAGTCTCTGGATACGCACTTTCCTAGCCAGTTACGTATGTTCGTAAAAACTTTTTTTGATCGACAAAGTTTCATCTCGCGCTTCATTATTTATCTTGTATTTTGTAGAATTTCTATTTTCTTTTTATTAGGAATTGTAGATATTACAGAAATATGTAATATTTTATATGAAAATGCAGATATTGCAATAATAATTTCGAAAGTACTGTATGTTAACAAAGCTTATAAATTTTAATTTTTAAAGCGAATCCTTTTGTTGGTTAGGTTAGGGAGAGCAACACTATTATTCTTTTTTCATGTTAAGATATGGCTTAGTGTAGGCCACATGAAAAGTTTTTTTTTATAAATTTTACAATTCATACTTATTGTGTTAGCCATACTATATACATATAATATTTATTTGGAATTCATTACTCAAACTTTTAAACCAATTATTTTCTCATTATCGCTATTTGATTAAAGCATTGATTGGTTATTATTATTCTTGACTGTTAAAAATTTCAAAAATCGCAATCCTTTGAATTCGAACAACAATTATACTACAGACTAAATAAGATTAGTTATAAAGAAACAAAGGGGATATACTTTTTTTAAGAATAAAGAGGACACGATTTGAGTAGAAATAACTTTAGATTTTCTTTAAAAATGAATTTTATTGTAATTTGTACTTGAATTTATTGGTAATTGATGCAAATCGTTTTGGCTAATTGATGCGCCATCGACCTGGCACACATTCAAGAGGTGCTCGAATAATCCAATTATCAGTCAAGTTATGGTGACCCTCGGAACGTCATAAGCAAGTATCCCAGTGAATAATTAGTTACCATTTACCGCATTAGGGCGTATTTAAGCAATTTGAATAATGAGTATATAGAAGCAGAAATATTTACGTCACGGGTTTTATCCCTATTTTTGATATTATTTATTGTGAAGTCATGCAGATAGCGTATATCCATCTTTCCGTTAAGAAATTCCAAAAAGAAAAAATAGCAAATAGTTATTATTCAAATTACGCAAATGCGTTGTAACGATTATCTTGCCATTTTTACTATGCATAAAATAAATAATGAAATTGCTTCAAACCTTATTAAAGCAAGTATAGATTAATTTAATGTATTCCAAGTTTAGTCGTGGAAGCTTTAGTATAAATATTTTAAGTTTATTGATTACATTAACCGTTCTACTACAATAAATCAATTCTTGTTAATAGGGGGTTTCAGAATTAACTTATTTCGAAAATAAGTGGGTATTTAAAAGATCATATCTACCGGTAAGCGATCGGGTTTCTAATTTCTCCCACTCCCATTGGACGAAATCAATTATTTTTGCAATGATTACACATTGTTTAAAAACCATTTTTAAAAAAAATAATTCTTTTCGCTGTTTAATACTAACATTTTTCTCTTTTGGGCTTTAGCACTTTCGAGTTTTTTTAATAAATAATTTCGTGTGAACGATTAAATAAATTTTCGCCAATTTTATCGAAAAATTTACTGTATTATGTAAAATTTTTAATTGCATAGACATATTCCTACTTTAAGTCATACTGCTATACGAAAATCCGAAAACAAAATAAGTATTCTTTTTTTATTTCGTAAATGTACGAAAATTTACTAGCAACTTAGCAGCAACATTTATTTTCAATATTACTAATTAGCAAACTAGCACCCATTGCAGATTGTAACAGGGTTAGGGACGGGCAAAATTTTTACATATATTTATATATTCTTACGCATTCTTTCATATTTTACATATTCTTAATTTCATCATAATAAATAATTCCAAGTTAAACACAAATGTGATTATCGTTATATCAAATAGAACACTTTTAAATTTAATATTTATTTTAAAATATTCGTTTCTACTAGAGTTGGGTAACGAAACCCGAAACTATATATAAAATCCCGAAAACCTTTCCGAAACCCCGAAACCTTTTCCGAAACTTTATACTATACTAAAAGGGTTAGAATTTTAATTTTAGACTTTAAGACATAAAGTACATGATAATTAGATTGCATTTCAGAAATATTTTGGTTACTTTATAGTAAATGTGCATTAGTTATTAACGTTCTAATTTTAAGGTTTCGGAGAGGTCGGTGCCCAACTCTAGTTTCTACGTTGTAAATTATTGTTTGATATTTTTCAAATTTAATATTTATTTTTTAAACCATTCATTGCTATGCTGTAAATTGCGGAATAACCATGATTTTTATGTGTAGCTTAAATGGAAGATTCGATTATTGCCTCGTTTTAAGTAATGTCATTAGTATTAAAATTCCAATCGTCTGCATTGTATTTTCTTTTTCAAATTGTTAACACTATTGTCCATGTTACCAAACTCGATGTTAGATGTGATTTTTCAAGACATGTTTCATTAGAATTAACTGTATTAACTGTATTATTGTCTTGAACAATTTGTTTGAATTTATTTATTTATTTATTTTTATTTGAATGATAGATTCAAGCTATTTTTTTCTTAAGCAATATGCCACCGAAATTGTGTTGTTAGCCGACTAAATCATCGACCGATCATTAGCTAATATCACACTTATAAACAATGAAATATGCATATTTCATTATTTATAAGTGTATGATATTAATCGACGATTAATCCAGCTAATAACGCTACACCGGAATGTCGAATTTTTAAGCAATTTTGATATTGTAAATATGGTACTATCGTTCAAACAATCGATCGTTTATTTAACTCAAAACCAATTAATACGTAGTTTATTTGTAATTGGTGATTTTTAAAATTACTTAATAATTGTAATAATTTTATAAAATATGTAAAGTTACTGTACGATTTCCGAAAGCTATTTTCCCGAAAGAACATAATACAAACTAATTATTCCTTTCATTTGACGATTTGAGTTACATTATTATATTAGTTTTAAACCAAATCTATTAATAAAAACAATTTTGTAGTAGCATTTTATATATTTACAGTATTGTATCAGTATCAATAAAAATGAACTTGAAATATTTCAAATGTTCGTGTTAAACAAAAGTAAAAATCGCGACTCAGAATATAATTAAGGAATTTTGAAACAGAGTTGGTTATATTTAAAATTGCAAGTTTGTAAACGTAGGTCAAAACAAAATTTATTCTCTTGAGGATAAAGTACCGAACAAAAACTTTACAAAATTTTTTGGTTGTGCCAGAAGCACTTATTTCGTTATTGTTTAGATTATTTTTCTACTAGCAGAAAGAATTTTGGAAATGCATAAATAAAATACTTTCTCTTAATAAAAATATTTTGAATTTTTTTTTAAAGAAAGTCGATGGTTTTTGTTTTGCAATTAAAGACAGGATTTCACGCGTCCAATCACAACTGATTAGGGCTCCCTAAGCGATCATGTAAATAAGTATATACTTTTAAAAAAATAGAACTTATACGCCACATATTTTAAGATAAATATGTTATTTATTTTATCTGAAATCGGATGTCGAATCATTAATTCTGAAAGCCTAAAATAGTAAAAATTTATGTTAATGAAAATGGACAAATTTTTAATTTTTTCCATTTTCAAGATTCAATTCTTCTCAAATAAAATGAGTTGAAGTGGAACAAGAGTTAAAAGCAGCTTCTTAATACAAAGGAAAGATTAACCAAAGAAATTTAACAAATAATGGTACGAAAGAGAAAAGAAAATAAATCATTTCATTTTTAATAGATTAAATAAATATATTCTTTTATACATTATATTAGAATAAGTTACAAATTTTTTGTTTATTATTTTCATTTATTAATTGCGCTAATATCATCTAGCTGCTGTGACGCAACAACAAACATCGGCAAGTTGTTTTTTAATAAAATTGTAGATCTACAAACCCAATATAGATAAGAATTTTTATATATAAACTTTGTGATTTTTATAAAATTTTATTTATTGTTATATAATATAAAATCTATGTAAATTTTATTTATATCTACGTAAAAATAATTTAATTTACTTTGGCTATTTCTCAATCAAGAGTGACTAAGGAAATAAATACTAAGTAAAAATGTTCAGCATTCTATAATCCTTCCCCAAACCCCAACTTAAGCTTTAAAATCTAATTATGGCGTAATTCTACATAAAAACAACTTCGTATTTTAGATGCCAACAATTGAATAAAGAATGTTGCGCTAATTTAAAAGAATGGATGATCCAGTCACATGACGTCCCCAGACGATATCGTCTAGGGTTCAAAAATGAATAGTGATATAAATTAATGATATAACTTATAAATAGGATTTATACTTTCTTAAGGTTAGGTACGAGTTTTAACAAATACAATAAAGTTAATAAGAACGTTAATAGCTCTAAAAATAGAATATCTAACAATTAGTCCAAAATTTCCAACCGGATCTCGTTGTCTTAGTACCGTGTTACGTGATTTTGTAACATCTTTAGATGATCGAACTCGCATTTGTTCGTTATATCGTCGAATGCACGCGATTAAATTATCATTTTCGTAATTAAGTAATTCTTTGGTCAATAAATCGGCATCTTCTATTGCATTACTTACACCTAAAAAACATATATTAGACGTGTAAATAGGTGCTAATTTAGAAAAAAAATTTATAAGGTAACATTTTTAACAACCACGAACCTAATCCTAATAGTGGATTCATAGCATGAGCAGCATCACCTAACAAAACTATTCTATCATTTTTCCAGGGTGGGACAGATAATGGATCAATATCACGAAGTTGACGACGTCGTGGAGGATTATATGTTCGAAATGGATATTTTTCACCCGGATGAGAGAATGGAACCAACGAAAATAATTCAATCATTAGATCTGTTAATTCACAAGGCGGGCGTAATTGTTTAATTCTTGTAATTGCATGTTTTATAATAGCCTCAGGATTTTTATCGTCTATTACTATATTATCTTTAATATCAAGATTTGTCGGATAACCATATCCAAGGGTAACCCTATAACTTGGTTCGTCGGATTGATCAATTGGTATAAAACGCATCATTGAAAAAAATGAATCACCATTTCGGCCAAGAGATTTTTGCATTAATGAATTTGCGTAAACAAACATTAATCGATCTGCCAAATTTTTTGGTATCTCAATATCAACATCGATACTAGTTACACCAAGGTCGATAATTTCTAAGCTTGGAACCTTTTGTTTCCGAACTACAATAAAAATATTAACTTTATCAGATAAATGAAAACAACTTATAATAAGAATTATGTATGTATAACATACTTGGTGAATTAATTCCATCAGCACCAATTAATAAATCGCCAAATTCTCTTGTTCCATCTTCGAACAATGCCCAAACACCATTATCACATTCTTCATATCCAACACATTTTTTATCCCATTGGACATCAACCCCTTCCAATAAAACATCTCTTAATCTATTACGAAATGCAACCATACCAGCAAAATCATGTTTAAGAGGTTCTATTTCGTAGATGCTTTTAAATTTTTGTTGTGGAACATAAAGTAGATGTCTCCCGACATGATCGATAATTGCTATAGCATGATGTTCCTTAGGGATTGAATTTGGTATTGCTTCGGGAAGACGAGCTTGAACTTCAGCTGGTGTGCAATAGAATAAAGAAGTAATACCTCTCCTATGAATGTAGATATTATAACCTTGCCATCGATCTATTTTAGCAAAATGATAAAAGTAATTAATTAGGCGTCGATGAAATAGTAAACGTTCATTTTTTCAAGAAATAATTTAATAATATTTTGAACCTTGAGGACTTGTCTCACGCTCGAATATTTTAACATTAAATGTGTTACCAAGATTTTTTCGAACGGAATGATAAAAACTAAGTCCACCTATGCCTGCTCCAACAATTAAAATTGTTGGATTCTTATTCGTAGTGATTTCCATTTTTTAAATTATCAAGTTAATTATTCAGTTTTAATTACTATTTTTTTTTTTCTCGGACTCTTGGATAGGTTGTTTATATACTATTCACTTCAATATTATTAAATATACAGTATGAAAAACCTCTCCGGCTATTTTTTCCATATTTGTACAGATAGAATACATTATTATAAGTGTTATAAGATTACTCATAGAAATTCATGATAATATGTGAATCATATTTAATTGATTCTTCGAAATATTCAAACTTCGAATCTCGGCATTTTCCGATACCATTCGAGACAGTTAAAATGTTAATTATCAAACATACATTTTTTATTTTAGATTAAAGAAATTTGATATTAAAGATCTTTAGATTTTAACATATATACAAGTAATTCTCTAAATGCATAGTTATTTTTCTCACTATATAATTTATTTAATTTAAAATATTTTGCAACATTAATTTCTAAGTGCATTTCTATATTTAGTTGAATGTATACGTACGGTACGTACGTACTAGTGATGCCGAGAAAACCTTTTAACGGCACTATGTTTTAGTTTTATCACGTGGTAAAACTAATTTTAACTTTTA